TGCGCCTTCTCCTGGGAGGCCCCACACAAAAGCACACAAAAACACACACGTGCGTGCGTACACATCTGGGGTTGACCCAAAAACTCACCTCCAAGCAGCCAGCCACGCACCTCGGCAGCAGGTGGGGGAGCTCGGAGAAGGCGGGGGGGGGGAATGAAACTCGCCTTTCTAGAAAAATCAGTCGGGCTATTCAAAGGGATGACAAAGGCTTCTGAATACACATTGTGAGACACACACACACACAAACACACACAAAGGCATGCACACCCAGGCTGAGGAAGCTGTGTGTGTGTGTGTCTCTCAGGGAGGGTGGGAATGTTTGTTTTTTTTTTTGCGTTATTTGCAAAATAAATAAATAAATAGCAGCAAGGAATTGCTGGGGTGCGTGGCGGCCTCCGACCCCGATGGTAAACAAACGGAACGGATGGATGCCTGTTTGGTGAACTCTGGGTTTTATGGGTTTATAGATACAGATTTAACAGAGTGGGAAGGGACCTTGTAGGTCATCTAGACCAACCCCCTGCTCAAGCAGACCTTATACCATTTCTGACAGATGGCAGTCCGGTCTCTTCTTGAAAGCTTCCAAGGATGAAGCTCCCACAACTTTTGAAGGAAATTTCCCTTCCGTTGGTTGATGGTTCTCACTGTCGGAAAATTCCTCCTTATTTCCAGGTTGAATCTCTCCTTGATCAGTTTCCATCCATTATTCCTTGTCTGGCCTTCGGGTGCTTTGGAAAATAGCTTGACCCCCTTCCTCCTCTCTGTGGCAGCCCCTCAAATATTGGAAGACAGCTATCCTGTCTCTCCTTCTCTTCACTAGACTAGCCACGTCCAGTTGTGTGAACACAACTCATAACCTGATCCAAGAAAACGACAAGGCAAGACAGTTTCAAGTCCCAGAATTAAACTATTTCTGGATTTAATGGTCTTCGACAACGGTATTTCTGGATTTAATAAGTCTTCCAACTATTTCTGGATTTAACGGTCTTTCAAACCTTTGCCTCTTCTATTTGGTTTGTGTTCTGACTGGGTCCACAGCACGCACTGAAAACCCTGGTTAGCAGACGCAGGGTTAACCATGATTTACCAATCATTGGGGTGGCTCACCCAACATGGCCACCAAATCGAGTCGTGCAAACGCTTGGTATTGCATTGCATGGCATTGATTTATTTTGCCATGTTCATGTAGTGTATATTGGGGGTGGTTGAAAGCTGAACGCAACAAAATTACATTTTAATGTATGCCGATTAGTGTTACATTCAAAGGGACAATAAAGTTATTATTTTATTCTATTTTCTATTCTATTATATTCTATTCTATTTTCTATTTTATTCCATTTTATTCTAATTTCTATTGTAGTCTATTTTCTATTCTATTGTATTCTATTTTCTATTCTATTCTATTCTATTCTATTCTATTCTATTCTATTCTATTCTATTCTATTCTATTCTAGTTTAGTCTAGTCTATTCTTTTTATTCTATTCTACTCTATTCTATTTTCTATTTTTTTCTATTTTATTCTATCCTAGTCTAGCTATTCTATTCTACTCTATTCTACTCAGTGGTGGGATTCAAATAATTTAACAACCGGTTCTCTGCCCTAATGATTTCTTCTAACAACCAATTCACCAAACTGTTCAGAAAGTTAACAACCGGTTCTCCCGAAGTGGTGCGAACCGGCTGAATCCCACCACTGATTCTACTCTATTCTATTTTCTATTTTTTTATTGAATTTTATTTTCTATTTTATTCTATTTTCTATTTAATTCTATTCTATTCTATTCTAGTCATCTATTCTATTTTATTCTATTCTATTCTATTCTATTTTCTATTCTATTCTATCTTCTATTCTATTCTCTTCTATTCAATCCTAGTCATCTATTCTGTTCTATTTTATTCTACTCTATTCTATTCTATTTTCTATTTTATTCTATTATCTATTGTATTCTGTTTTCTATTCTATTCTATTTTCTATTCTATCTTCTATTCTATTCTCTTCTATTCAATCCTAGTCATCTATTCTGTTCTATTTTATTCTACTCTATTCCATTCTATTTTCTATTCTATTCTATTTTCTATTCTATTCTATTCTAGTTTATTATTTTCTATTTTATTCTATTCTACATACCCAGCCCATGATGGCTTGTTCGATCAACTCAGTTCAACAAACCACAACGTGGCATTGGCGCTGCCCCAAAACTTCGAAGGAAGCGAAGAGAAAAATTGAAAAGTTTTATCTCCCCGATTCCCGAAGGCTTCCCTCTTTTACTTCACCTCCATCTCTAAGAAGTCGCCCGTCATTTTTGGATCCGACATCTAAAAAATTTGCAAAAGACGTTTTCAGACGCCAAAGAGGAAGAACGAGGAAGGTTTCTGTTTCCATCACACAACGCAACATCCTCACACACACACCGGCTGGTAAACTTGACAATGGCCATCGGATTTTTTTTGCAGGTTAGGGAACCCAAAGTTTCCTGCTGGGGGGAAAACCACTGTTTTTCCCCCCTTTCATTCTCTCCCATTTTAATGCCTTTCTTTGTATGTATGTGTGTGTGTGTGTGTGTGTGTGTGTGTGTGTGTGTGTGTGTGTGTATAAATAAAATATATAAATAAAAATATATATATATTTTTGCTCCTGGAAGCACGAAGCCGAGAACACCAGCCTGAAGATGACGAGTGAGACTTCGTCGAAACGTCGCCAAGACACTTCCAATTTTACGTGGGAGAAGACCCGAATAACCAAAGACCTACATACAAACACCCACGAAAACCTGAGAAAACATATATGTATGTATGTATGTATGTATGTATGTATGTATGTATGTATGTATCTCAAATGGATATTTAGTCCTGGAGGTGGGCGATCCAATCAAAATAATCTACTTTACTCCCTACCCCCACTTAAATCCAGGGGGAGGGCCCATAGATAAAGGAGTAGGGGGCGATTTAGTCTGTATATCTAATTTTCTTCCCTTCAAGGCAAACGTTATCAGGTTTTTGGGGGCAGGGCCAGCTGTCCCCCCCTCCCCACCTGGTGGGAATCAGCTCCAATTGTCTATCTGCTGGGGGGCCCCCTCCCCTTTGTTTGCTAAAGCTTTGTTTTCCATGTTTACTAAGTCTCCCATTCCGGGCAGAGAGGGAAGGGCACGAGAAAAAAAAAAATCAAACTTGCAGTGCCCACCTATTTTTCTTGTACTTCCGAAGAATGGGCCTTTTTAAATGGATTTTAGTGCCTTATATTCCCCCCCCCCCCCCGTTCAGGGTGAACTAAGGGTCTGATCCAAGCCCCGTTGAATGACAAGTCAGTCCTGCCATTTCTCTCTTAATGCTAGACCCTGGATCTAGCATTAATTAATGAATGTTATTAATTCATTAGACTCGGAAAGACAGAGAGAGAGAGAGAGAGAGAGAGAGAGAGAGAGAGAGAGTGTGAGTACCCAACTGGGAGCAAAAAAATAAATAAATACAGGTATTTTCTTAAGACCCCACCCCCAATGGAGGCCAAAATTCACTGCAGCTAAGCGAAACCTTGGTCGAAGAGAGTTTTGTCCTGTTTTGCGATGTTTCTTGCCACCGTCGTTAAACGAATCCACACACACCCACCCCGCGGTTGATCAGTTAGTGAGCGCCAGTTGTTAAGCAAATCTGGCTTCCCTGTTGAGTTTTGCTTGTCTGGAAAGCATGACCTCGGAGAGTCCCAGCGATGGTCGTAAGAAAGAGTCGGCTGCCAAGCATCTGAATCTCGATCACACGAGACCCACGGCGGGTGGGGGTGGGGTGGGGGTTTGCTACAAAGGTGACGGCGGTTGTTGAAAGTCAAGTCACGCGGTCGTTCAATGAATCTGACTCCCCCGCCCCTGTTGACTTTGCTTGCCAGATGGCCACCGCGACCGTCACAAGTATGAGTCAGCGGCCAAGCATCCGAATTTTGGATCACGTCACCCTGGGGATGTTGCAACGGGTCCCTGTGAAATGTGGGGGGGAAAAAAACCCTCAAAAAACCGGTGGTAGCTGTTTACAGTCCCGCTGTGAACTTGGAATGGCCACTAAACGAAGTTATATAATTCGAGAACTACCTGTATAGGAGACAAATATTCATATTTGTTTTCTCCAGAGAGCTGGGGTGTGCCCCCTTATTTTTATTTTTTTTTTTTGGAGGGGAAAAACAGGAGCCGACTCAGAAGTCGTGGGTGTCAAAACTGCCATCTTCTCCTTTCCTCCTCCTCCTCCTTCGCCTTCTCTCCCCCCCCCGCCCCTCCCTCCGCCGACCTTCCCAAACCGGTTTAGCAAGCAGGTAAAAGCCGAAGTAAAGACACCGTTATTTCCAAACGCATGCGCCATCCGCACCACGCCTCCCCAAACAGCAGATCAAATTAAGGAGCTGGGGCAGAGGGACGGTGTTTGCCTGTCGCTCCTGACTTTCTTTTAAAATAAGATAACAAAATAAATTAGGATTATTCTCCTCTTTCGATTTTGGGGGGGAGCCCCGGCGCTTCAATCCGGAGTAAGGGCGAGGAAAGCGAAGCGAAGAGAGGAAGAGGAGGAGGAAAAAATATATATATCTATATCTACGCCTCGCCTGCTGCTCACCTGGTGGCTACTCCTCCCGTTCCCTTTTCTTTCTTTCTTTCTTTTTCTTTTCTTTCTTTCTTTCCTTCCCCCACCCTCCTTTTTTTTTAAACTGTGAACCTTGATCCGAGTTTGAGCCTGGCGCGCCAAGGGGGAAAAAAACTAACCGGGAGAAAGTTTTGGAACGTTCGCACAAGAACCAACGTTCTACGGATCGAACGTTCGCGGCGCCAACGTTCCATCGGGCCGCGCACGGAACCCACGGAACCGTCTCCGGATCCCCTTATGGACGATTCGGAATTCGCCAGTGGCTTTGGATTGATTTGATTGATTGGTTATATTGGGATTGGTTATTGGATCTTCCTTCCTTCCTTCCTTCCTTCCTTCCTTCCTTCCTTCTTTCTTTCTTTCTTTCTTTTCTTTCTTTTTTTCTCTCTCTCTCTTTCTCTTTCTTCTCTCTTTCTTCCCTGTTTCGTTTTCTCCTCCTTCTCCTCCTCCTCCACCTCCTCTTCCTTCCTCCGCCCTGGCGAGGAAGGCCGAGGGAAGAGCCAACTTGGGAAGTTCAACGGCGGCCAGACTAGCTGACCTCGAGCTCCCAAAATGCCTCGAGCTTTCCTGGTGAAAAAAACCTGCGTTTCTGGCCGGCGGAACTGGAGCGAACTGCCCGACGAAGAACGGGGCGAAGTTTACGTGCCAGGTGAGTCTCGAGGCGGGCGGGGGGTGGGAGCGAGGAGAAAGGCAAGGAAAAGTTGCAACGGGGGGGGGGGGCTGGTCTGGCTTTTGGAACCGTTGTTGTTGTTGTTGTTGTTATCCTCGACACAACGACACATTCCAGTGTTTTTGCTACTTTGAAAAATAAATACATTGTGTTCTATCGGAGTTGGGGAAACGCGCTTTGAAAACCATTAAAAAAGAGTTAAGCGGATGTCCCATAGTGGATTGGGCCCAATGGGGGAAGGGGAGGGGAGGGGGTGGAGAAAAGGTATGGGGGGGGGGAATAAGAGGCCCAGGGGGTTAATTAATAGGGGGCTCCTTTCTCAAGGGGTGGGGTCTGTTCCCCTCCACTTGCCCGAGGCTGGAAATCGCGATCCTATAACGCTCCACCTTAGTTTTCAAGACGGGGGGGGGAAGAGGGCGAGGGAAGGTCCGTTATCATCAGGCATCACTTAAAAAAGAGGAATTCTGGGCTATTTGGGGAGGGGGGTGGGTGGGAAAGGGGTCGGGGAGGTGGGGAGAGAGGTTGAAAAGCTGCTAATCACACCTGCCCAGCGATCCCCATTGTCTCTTCCCCCCCTCCTCCTCCTCCGCCCCCCGGCCTGGGAAGCGCAGTTAAGCGCAGCTTACTCCGCCTTGTGGAATGTTTGAACGCGCCGGCAAGTTTAGTGGTTGGTTGAGTTGGGGGGGGGGAGGCCGGAGGCGCAAATGGGAAGAGAAGAAAGAAAGAAAGAAAGGAAGGAAGGAAGGAAGGAAGGATGGAAGGAGAAAGAAAGAGAGAGGCTAGGGGGCTTGTGGAAAAAGAGGGGGACACTATTTTCCTCTTTTTTTCTTTTCTTTCTTTCTTTCTTTCTTTCTTTCTTTCTTTCTTTCTTTCTTTCTTTCTTTCTTTCTTTCTTTCTTTGTTTTTCCAAGCGGAAGATTAGGATGGGAAGTTGAAGGTGAGGATCAGGGGCAAGGAAGGTGAAGCCTGTGCCCTTGCTTGGATCGGAGGAGTGGTTGTTTTGGTCCGTTGTAACGTGGTTTCCCCCCCCCCCCTTCTTAATAATATTGGCAATAATAGAATAAAAGGGACCAAATAAAAGAGAATATTTGCAACTCAAAACTGTAGAGTTTTCTCGCAGTCGTTTTTTTGTTTCTTTGTTTGTTTGTTACCAAATTAGGTAAAGCCATCAGTGCTAGAAGGGAGGGGGGTTGTGGAGAGGAGGAGGAGGAGGACTGTAGGGTCCTTGATGCTCTCTGAGCTTGGTGGTTTCCTTGGAAGACGTTTCACGACCCAGCTAGGGAACATCATCAGTGCTAGAAGGGTTTGGCTCTCAATCCCTTTTAGCACTGATGATATTCCCTAGTTGAGTCGTGAAACGTCTTGCAAGAAAACCACCAAGCTCAAGAGAGCACCAAGGACCCCCCACCTCACAGAGTAAGAAGAGCTGAAAGGGGCCTTGGAGGTCATGTAGTCCACCCCCGCTCAATCGGGAGGCCCTATATCATTCCAGACAAAACAGCTGTCCAGTCGCCTTCTTTAAAATCTCCGGTGACGGCCAACTGGGCTCATGGGAAATATATTCTGTAAGGTTCCTTAGAGGAAGAGTGTAGAAGAAAAAGAAATACAAACAATTAAGCCAGTGGTTTTCCTCTCTCCGGGCTTCTTTCAGTTTAGTTTCTGTAACGTTTCGTTATGTGTTTAATAAGGGGAATCGAACAAGAACATCCTGCTGGTGACGTTACCTAGTATGGTAACGAAACGTTCAGCAACGGAATTTAAAGCCAATCGCTGCCCCAAAAAAATCTAAAATCTGAGCTACGACGATTTTTCTCTCTTTTTTTTTTGTTCCTCCACAATTAACCAGGATTAAGCTGTAACATTCACATTACGGGCAGTGTTTTTAAATAAGGGGAGGGGAGGGGGTGTCCGTGATGGCCTTGGTCTGGTGGAAATCCAGGCCCCCTCGCCTAGCTCAAGAGTGCAGCCTTTGATTGTGAGAAACGGTTCCTTTTCTGTGAACTCAGCCTCGTATGATGGGTGTGTGGGCTCAGGCCAGGTTTAACTGGTTTCCTGGATGAATTGTGGCTGGCTGGATTTGCTGACCAAGTTGAGGCATAGCTTGTTTACCCATCACGTCTCTCTGGGCTGGCCCTGTTTTTTTGGGGAACTGTTCAACTAGCCGGATGCAACCGGGGGTCCCTTCCGTTCCCAGAATGCTCAGCAGCCTCCCCCCCATCCACCCCCCCCAGGATTTTCAGCAAATGGCCCAGCTAGCTGGGGAATTCTGGGAGCTGAAATCTAAACCCCCTTGGGATCGGTTCAAGGAAAGAGTGCCTAGAAGTTTCCAACAGGAGGCGGTGAGTTCTAGTTCCGCCTTAGGCATGAAAGCCAACTGGGTGACTTTGGGCCAATCACCAGGAGACTGTGAGTTGTAGTCCCGCCTTAGGCATGAAAGCCAACTGGGTGACTTTGGACCAATCACCAGGAGACGGTGAATTCTAGTCCCGCCTTAGGCATGAAAGCCAACTGGGTGACTTTGGGCCAATCACCAGGAGACAGTGAGTTCTAGTCCCATTTTAGCCATGAAAGCCAGCTTGGTGGCTTTGGGCCAATCACCAGGAGACGGTGAGTTCTAGTCCTCCCATGGGCATTAAAGTTGTCTGGGTGACTTTGGGCCAATCACCAGGAGACAGTGAGTTCTAGTCCCATTTTAGCCATGAAAGCCAATTGGGTGACTTTGGGCCAATCACCAGGAGACGGTGAGTTCTAGTCCTGCCTTAGGCATGAAAGCCAACTGGGTGGCTTTGGGCCAATCATCAGGAGTCGGTGAGTTCTAGTCCCGCCTTAGGCATGAAAGCCAACTGGGTGACTTTGGGCCAATCACCAGGAGATAGTGAATTCTAGTTCCATTTTAGCCATGAAAGCCAATTGGGTGGCTTTGGGCCAATCACCAGGAGACGGTGAGTTCTAGTCCCATTTTAGCCATGAAAGCCAGCTTGGTGACTTTGGACCAATCACCAGGAGACGGTGAATTCTAGTTCCATCTTAGCCATGGAAGTCAGCTGGGTGACTTTTGGGCCAGTCTGACTCTCTCAGCCCACCCTACTTCGCAAGGTGGTTGTTGTACGAAAAAATAGGCAGAGGAAAGTTATGGATGGGTTTATGTTTGCCCCCTTGGAGTTATTTCTAAAAAATAATACAGGTGAGCTACAAATAAAAAAGTAAAATATTATTATTATTATTATTATTATTAATAATAATAATGATGATGATGATGATGTCACCTGGAACCTGGCATGCTTCTCCCCCGGATCCTCATTGTTTGCTTCTGATTGTGGACAATGAAGATCGTTTTCTGGCTTTTTGCCTTTTTGCCACTGGTGTTTGTTTATTTTTTAAAAAAAGTTCCTCTGAATATGAATTTCCCTCCGGGAGTGGGGTTAGGGGGAAGGATGGGGGTCGGGATGACGACGACCCATAAGTGGGTTTTTTTTTAGGAGAGGCTGCTAACGTTTGGCGTAGAACATTTTTTACATTACTTGGCAAGCTGCTCTGGCCTCCGCTTAGGACTCTGTAATTAGCATCTAATTAATCACGCTGGCAGCCTGATTTCCAGGTTCCTGACTCCAGAGGTGCATTCCAGCGGGGTTCCCGCCATCTTGCCTTCTGGAGCCATCCAGAACGATCCAGAATGCAAAACGAGGCACGCCGACGCCGTACCTGTTAGGCTGGCGCAACCAAGGAACAGTCATTTCGAGAAGGGCGATAAAAACGATAAAACGGTTTTTAGGTTTAAGCCTTGCCCTGAAGTTTTGCGTTCTTCTCCCTTTTCTTAGCTTCTGGCATCCTACAAGCAACCCCGCGAGATAGGCTGGGCAGAGGAGGAGAGAGGGAGAAAGGGAGGGAAAGGAAAGAAAGGGAGAGAGGGAGAAGAGAGGGAGGAAAGGGAGGGAGGGAAAGAGGGAGAGAGAGGAAAGAAAGGGAGAGAGAGAGACAGGGAAAAGAGAGGGGGAGAGGGAGGGAGAGAGAGGAAGGAGAGGGAGGGAGAGAAAGAGAGAGGAAAGAAAGCGAGAGAGACGGAAAAGAGAAAGGAGGGAGGGGAGAGGGAGGGGGAGAGGGAAAGAGGGAGGGGGAGAGGGGGAGGGAGAGAAACGGAGAGAGGGAGAGAGCAAAGAAAGGGAGAGAGACAGGGAAAAGAGAGGGAGAGGAAGGAAGGAGAGGGAGTGGGAGAGAGGGAGGAAAGAAGGAAAGGGAAAGGGAGGGAGGGAAAGGGAGAAAGGTAGGAAGGAGAGGGAGAGGGAGGGAAAAGAGAGAGGGAGGGAGGGAGAGAAACAGAGAGGAAAGAAAAAGAGAGAGACGGAAAAGAGAGGGAGGAAGGAGAGGGAAAGAGTGGGAGTGGGAGAGAGAGGAAGGAGAGGGAGGGAGAGAGAGGGAGGAAGGAAGGAGGGGGAAAGAGGGAGGGAGAGAAAGGGAGAAAGGTAGGAAGGAGAAAGGGAGAGGGAGGGAAAAGAGGGAGAGGGAGGGAGAGGGAGAAATGGAGAGAGAGGAAAGGAGAGAGAGACGGAAAAGAGGGAGGAAGGAGGGAAAGAGGGAGTGGGAGAGGGAGGAAAGGGAAAGAGTGAGGGAGAGAGAGGCAGAAAGGAAGGAAGGAGAGAGGGAGAGACAAGGAAAAGAGAGGAAGGAACGAGGGAAAGAGAGGGAGAGGGAGGAAGAAAAGAGAGGGAAGGAGAAGAGAGCGGGAGAAGAGATGGAGAGAGAGCAGGAGGGAGAGAGAGTGGGGGGGAGAGGGAGAGAGAGATGGATCCCTCCCCCCAAGAGTTTTGTGGCTGAGTTGTGTGTGTGTGTTTGGGGGGGGCTGTCTTTGAAACAAGGGTCTCGAGACCTCAGTTTTGGGCCTCAAAATATAGACAGCAAATTTGGGGTTCGCACCCCGTTGTGTGGGCTGGGGGCTGATTGCAACGTCCTGTGTCGTGTTGCAACGTCACTGAAGAAGTGGG